TCGTAAATTTCGTTGTTTCAATAATCCAACATATATGTGAAAATCAAAATCTTGTCAAGTGCCTTGAGACAAAATATGTCCAAATTACGACACAGATTCTTGCAATAAAGTTGAAATTCTCTCTTGCCTTCTTGGCTAAGCCTAACAAAATTTTTAACAAGGACTTGACAATCTTTTCTCCAAAATTCTAACTTTTCTTACTTAGATTCATGGCAAAAATTCAATAAATCATAACTAACATGTCAAGAAGCATTTGGCTCATGTTCTTAGTAACAAAATTCATCAAAAATTCACTGATAAAAACTCTAAATTAAACTATATGTTTTATGCATCAAAGTTGAAAATTTAGAGTATAACTTGAAAAACATGAAATCCTATATAAAGAGAGCATATTCTCTGTCCAATTTTCTATCCAATATAAAACTACGTAGTTTCACTTATTATATCTGTTGATGTGGCAACTAAAAATAGGTGACTGTTTGGCTGCCTTATACTTCTTTTTCTTTCTTCTTTTTTGGATTTCCTTTGTTTACACAACTTCGTTACAATTCTCATCTTTTTTAAAACAAAGTATTAAAGATTTCAAATACAAAAGAATATTTAAAAAAGATGGGAATTGTAACAATGTTGTATAAACAAAGAAAACCCAAAAAAGAAGAAAGAAAAAGAAGTATAAGGCAGCCAAACGCCACCTATTTTTAGTTGCCACATCATCAGATATAATAAAGTGAAACTATGTAGTTTCACATTGGACAAAAAATTGGACACAAAATATTGGACAGAGGATCTGCTCTCCTATATAAAGTTCTAAACTAAATTAAATAGATTACATACCAAAACTAAAAATTACAACATAATTTGACAAAAATATGAAATTTTTCATAAAGATCCTTCTTTTATCTTCTATAACATCATACATCAATTAAACTTAAAGATAAGGAAAGAAAAATTAGGTACCTAACTAATTTCACCTCTTTACCTCCAAAATCTAGAATGGAAAGGAAATCAAGAAAGTTGAAAAGTTTTCTTTCCTTTAAGAACTCCTCCAAAAACTTCCTCCCAAACTTGTCTCAAAGATTTACGAAGTGGATTAGGGTTTCCTCTCTTATTTTCTTACTAATTAGACAAGAAATCAAGACTAGAAATTTAATGTTGTTCTCCCTCTTTTTCTTCTCAAAATTTCATCCAAGGGTACCCAAAAGAAGAAGAAATGTGAATGAAACGGAAGTTTGGGTTGAATAAAAATCAAACTTGGTTTTGGTCAAGATTTTATGGATGCTTGACATGTGACAACACAAGATGAAATCCTTATCTAATTATTTTTAAATCACTAAAATATCTAACTCATCTCTAATTATCTCTTGACACCTTATAACACCATAAGCCTTTTACACAAAACTTTCTCTTGTTTACCCAATTTATTGCACACATCTCACTAATTGTTCACATAGCATAATGCACTATAAAACTCAACATGCACCAAGTTAAATAAGCCAATAGAATAAAAATCATGATTCAACCATCAAATCAGTCACAATTTCAAGGCAAGTAAGTTAAACTAATAAAAACATAAGAAACGAATTTTCGGATCCTCACAAGAATTAAAATCTCTAGATCATACACTTGTAGGATTTCTCTCAAATTCTTCCGAAAACCCTATTTTGTTGCTCCTTTACAATTCCAACTTAGCAGCTTCATTTTAATTGCTTTACTTTATTAAGGTCAGCAGCCCAACTCCACCGTCTTTGTAGTGTCTTGCTCAATAGTCTCATAGCTTTGTTCTTCTTCCATTCCCGACGGATGGACCTGTTCCTCCAAAGGAGTTTCCGCTATAACTATTCTGCTAATGTTCTATCATTTGTTTATTGCTCCAGGCTAACCGCCATATTTCCTCCTAGTTCTAATTCTTCTATGCCATAGGCCATTTCCATTGGGAATATTCCACTAATCTCTTTTACTAGCACATCTAGGTTTTACTGTTTTCCCCATTAATCTTCTCGTTATTGGTGTTTTTGTTCTTTCTAATTCACACTTCTTTCCTTCCCGAGCTTTGAAAAGCTTTTTAGGTGCTATAATCCCTCCATTTACATTCATTAGCCCACTTATCTTGACTGGGCTTAGTGTTTTTTTATCCATCCAAAAGCCTTGACTCCCCTGTTCTCCACTTTTCCTTGTTTCTTTCCCTTTTCTTGAGCTACTTCCTTGCACTGTATTCTTCCTCTTTTTCCCCTTATTGAAGGAGAAATTCTGTGGTGATCCCGGTATATTAATTACTTTAGTTCATAAAATTTCCTTGGGGGTCACTCTTTTCTTGTTGCTCCTTTTCTACTTCTTCTGCTTATAGAGCTTTAAAACATGACCCCTGCCCCAGTATCTGCTCAGCAGTTTCCATTCCCTGATCCTTTTTTCTGTTATCTCTTCTCCTCCATTTCCCACTAGTTGCCTCTATCCAATCTAGCATTTGGGTATGTTTCTTCATTCCAGACGGTCTAGGCTTACTTTCTCTTTGTTTTTGGGCCTTTACTTTGAGCCTAGATCTTTCTGCGTGGTTTGCTGGACCTTTTACTTCCTTTCTTGTTCTTCTTCCATTCGCAACCATCCACGGCCCAAATGGCAGGCTTTTGGATCCTTCATCTCCATCCACCTTCCTCTCTGATTTCGGACTCTGGTTCTCTATTCCTTCTACTCTTTCATTTCCAACCTTTAGCCTCAGAACTCTGTAATGTGGCCATATTGCCAACATCCAAAATGGATTTGGTATAGCCCTTCGTACTCTACAACTTGAAGATCCTAATTTATCCAGACATATGGAATCTAGGGTTTGGTTAGATCAGCCTCTATGCATATTTTGTTAAATTTCCCTCTCTCAGCTATTAGAGTATTCTCATCCACTTTGACTGTCTTTCCTATGTTGTTGCCTACTGTCTTAAGGAATTTCTCTGTATAATCTCAACCGGCAAACCTAATAGTCTAATCTGGACCATTGTCAAAGTTATCTTTTTTTTGTTTTGCTAGAAAATATGGTCTCCATTTTCTCACAGTAACGTAGAGCCTCTGTATCATCCATGGCCCTCCATCTAGGATTCTGTGGTAGTCCTCCTTTAACCTAACTCTAACAATGTAGAATCATTTTTCCATATCTATGCTTTCAAACTCTTGGTCTAGCAACCACATCTCCCAAAGTTTTTGCTCCAAAGTTCTAAGGCAACATTTCTACCCAATACTCTGAGTATGAGTGCCTTCCTCCACGGTTTCCACATCTCAAGTATGTCCCCCATGGGTACCGTTGGTTTTGGGAACTTCAATTTAATCTTCTCTGCAAATATGGCTTCATCTATTTCTCCATTTTCAAGCATGGTGTTATCCTCTTCTTCCTCAGATCCATTATAGAAAAGCTATTTTTGTAGGAGTTCTTCAGTTAAACAAATGTAAAATAAAATGGTTAGGCAAGAACTTGGATGGACCCAATCTGTGACTCACTTATAGACCGAGTGATGTATTAGTTTCCGCATCATCAACCTTCATGTTAATTAATTTTAAATGTAACACCCCATTAGGTCTTCTACTAACAATGGGGACTAAATAAATCCACTGGATCAAAAACAAAGATGCAATCTAATTCAGGGACTCAAAACAATTATGGAAAAATCTTTCAAAACAACTCATATTTCGTTAAATAAATTTTTTCATCCTTTACTTTTAAAATAATAAATTTATATTCTTTGCAAAATTATATCAATAAAATTTGGTTCCAACTTAATTTTTTTTTTACCACTTTTTACCCTGAATTAATCACGTGATTCGCATATAATCAATTTTTTAGGGACAAAAGGCTAGACCTCATTTATGGTTAAACAAATGACCTAATTTATATTTCTTTTTACCCTTAAACGAGTAGGATTTGACCTAAATCATATTCATTTTTCTCTTAAAAAAGTGAGATTTGAGTCAATTTTTGCCATTAAAAAAAGTGAAATCTGACCTTTTTGTACATAAAAAATGATTGCATATCGATTACATGGTAATTTTATACTAAAAAATGATCAAAAACTTAAGTTGAAATCAAATTTTGCGATATTAAATTTCTAAGGAACGCAAAGTTAATATTTTAAAAGTAAATGATGAAAATTTTCATTCAACGAAATATGAAAATGGTTTTGAACAATTTTCCCAACATTTATTATGTTTTTGCAAGAGCATCAACACCTAGTCTGCTTCGCTAAAGAAGTGACTAATATGGCATTCTAAAGTTTGATTGTTTAATGCCAATAAGATCCCAAGCTAACACACCGTTTGATTTCCCAAAGTAGGTTATCTATGTCTCTCGAATACGCATTGCAAAAGTAAAATATCCATCTACCTTTAATCAATACAAAATACTTTGATTGTTTAATGCCAATAAGATCCCAAGCTAACACACCGTTTTGATTTCTCAAAATAGGTTATCTGTGTCTCTCGAATACGCATTGCAAAAGTAAAATATCCATCTACCTTTAATCAATACAAAATACTCCGCCACAACCATATTTCCTACTGCCGAGCCATCTATATTTTAACTTGATTCGTTCCTTCCCATGCTTGAAAATTTTCATCTGAGTAGTGTAGGTTTTTAACTGTTGAAAAACTTAGGTTGTGTTTGGATTGTATTTTCCGTCATTTTACATGAAAAAATTACTGTAGCGATTTGATATATGTGAGGGAAAAAGGTGATAGGGAAATGTGATCACGAAAAACGACAATATTTTCCGACAGAAACAAGCAATCCAAACGAGGCTTTAGAATTCCATCTCAAAACCAATTGATAACAAGTGAAATGGCCTATCAACAACTTTTATATATGATTGAAAATCTTTAGAATATCAATGTGAAATATTCTACTAACACTTTTAAATTGACTCCTTCCTTCCCATGCTTGAAAATTTTCATGTGACTGGAGAGTAGGTTTTTAATTATTGAAAAACTTAGAATTCCATCTCAAAACCAATTGATAACAAGTGAAATGGCCTAACAACAACTTTTATATATGATTGAAAATCTTTAAAATATCAATGTGGAATATTCTACTAACACCCCTTTACAATCGTGACTTGACAAATGGGCTTAAAACCAAGTCACGAGAGAAACTATAAACAAGATAACTGAATCACGAGTGAAACTACAGCTCACAAGGTAACAAATAAACTCAAAGCCCAGCTCTAATACCATTTTAGAGAACATGAACTGCCATTTCAAAATCAATTGACAATGAGTGAAGTGATCTAACAACTTTTATATATTGCCGAAAACCCTTGGAATATCAATATGAGATATCAACTAATAGTAGCTTTTTTGAATCTGTTGTTGATATTTCATGGGCTAAGCATGATTCACGCTTTCTGGAAAATGCATCGTGTGGGCGCGGACGGCAGAACCCCCAAAAAGAATGACGAAAATCTCAACTCCGGGTGACCTGTAGACGGCATATTTAGTTTTCATGAATATACTTCCACCGCCGAATATGGTGAATGACATGACGAAAATCTAGATTCCACTTCCACTCGAGCACTATACAAAAGGTTAGTAATTAAAAATTCAAAGAATTGTTGCCGATCCTTCTTCTTGACCAGCATTTGCCGCACACTGGCTGCCCATCTACAATTCCCACGGAGACCTGCTTTCTAAACCTGCACAATTAGGACAAATATCAGTATCAATCAAATGCATATGAAATTTAAGGTTACGGGTCATCAATCCATTGTGCAACTAGAGCCTGAGCAGTACACATTGCACCTTTCTGATCCCCTTCCTACCCACACTCTTTTCCAATGCTAAGTTTCATTTAGATTCCTATTAGATCCATTAAGCTGATCATAAGCTGATTCGACGGTAAATGCTCCTGATTCAGACAGGCAACATCGAAGAAAATCCAAAATATCAGGATTCTGGATGAGAATAATGGATCTGAGCTTCACCTTTGATACTTGAAGGGAGTAGTCCCTGCAGCATTATCCAATTCCAATCATTTATTCCACCGCCCTTTTGTTGGACTGTTCTCCTGGGATTGAAACATCCACTCACTGATCGGTACATTGAACAACCACTAATCAATCCAAAATCCTATTGTCTCTCCATTACCAAATCTCCACCTCATTCCTCACCGTGTTACTACTTCAGCGTTACCTTCTATGCTTCTCCAGGTATATGACATCAACATACTCAAAGAGTCCCCATCCTCCTTGCAATATTTTCTAAAATGAAGTTTCTTTCCATACAACCCATCCTCAATCAATAACTTCCAACCAACCTTAGCCAGAGTTGCCTGGTTTAGTTGAGAGAGATGTCGAATATCTAATCCTTCTTCCTCTTTTTTCAAACAATCAACTTAAGAATGGAACATAGTCCATGGATAAGGTCTTTGGTTCTCTGCCATAGAACATCGCAAGGGTTGTATAGTCATCACTCCCTTTACATTGTATACTCCATGTAATACCAGCAGCTTTGCAGCTACAAAGATTTCCAGAAAACCAGCTATGGGAGAGTGTATTGCTGGGCCAAGCAGCATGCTGAATAGAGGAAATACCTGTGGAGGCTGTATTCAGGTGAGATGTTTTGAACCATGTCTTGTGGTGTTTGCCACGTGGCCCACCTTTCACTATAACTGCCACTGATTTCTGCCCCAAATTACGATGGGCATTGGTGGAAGTTCCTTGATCACAATGCGCGATGTCACCTGGTACAAAAATTGCAGCAATAGCAGAAAACGTGGTTCCAATTCTATTAATGGTATCAATTATAATTAACAAATTCTTGGACTGAATTAGTCTACACCATATGTCTCAGATGCAATGCCCATTGTAGGTGGATCTTAATCCAGGGAAAAATGTGGAGTTGACAGGAAGTTAATACTTTGTGCAAGTCCTAATCACCAATGATGGGGTGAATGGTGAAGTCTCTGCAGGAAAAATGAAAGGATCAAAAACAGGATGGATAACTATGTGTAGAAACTGGGTATAGAATCAGCGATGCAGAATCAGACTCATGGGCAGCCCTTATTACAATTTTTCCCTGATAAGACAGAGATTTGGTCAGACAAATGGTCTTGAGTTTGACATTATCAAACGGAGGTAAGCTATGTTCAGAAGTCGTATCCCACCCACTCTAAAGTGTACGTCAAGATCAATGTAGAGATACAGCAAAGAAAGACCAAAAAATGCAGTGTATTTTATGGCAGGAAGGGCATATGCATGTCAACCTCATGACTGTCCATCATGTGACCATTGTGGGGGAGATGGCATATATTGCTCACATAACCATGGGTTAGCTATTTTCTATTATTTTCCCATTTCTTCTTTCTACAATCATTTTGATCTGTTTGCATCCTGAAATTTAAGTATTTTCAGGCACTTATTGTTCAAGATATAGATGCCATGCATCATTTCATGCACTTGCAACCAATAACAAATTAAATTTCATGGTTTGAAAAGCATTAGCTGCAAAGCATAACCATTGCACTTGTCTCCATAAGTAAAGAGTTTAAAGTCACCAGTAAATTTGGCTACAAATATTTAAATAGCTCCCAGCCACTAAACAAAAAAAAAAAAGTGCAAGAACTTTCCTGACAGGGTAGAAAATGCTAAACACTTGCAATGGGAGGTGCTATCAGATTGCATCTAGCAGCTCCTGCAAGAGTAACCAAGTCAGTTTGAGCTCAATGAATATCCTTCTCCCTCTCCTTTCTCTTGAAAATTTAGAGATTGACCAAAATATTTCTGGGCTTCCAGTCGTAAAAAAGCTGAAAGACTTGCTTCCTCATTTGACTCTAAAGCATTGATTAATATCTTGAATGACAACTTATCCAGGTCACAACCTATAGATTTCATCAGGTAAAAGCACTCAACTGCTAGTCCAGTGAGGTTGAAATTTGCTAAAATCTCCAGCAATGCATTAAAGCCGTTAATATCAGGCTCTAAACAAGGTTCCTTCTTCAATTTAATGAAAAGTAGTTCAACCTCTTCAAGCAATCCATTGCTTCCCAAAAGTGAGACCAATTCAGCATACAGTGATATTTGAGGCCTATACCAATACTCCTCCTGAATTTCTTCGAAAACCTAATTCAGGAAACGAAGGACACTAATAGATCAGACAATATCACTGTAGGCTAAATGTACCATTTTTCAGAAACAAAGGCACCCAATACTAGTCTAAGCCCCCCACCCCCACCCCCACCCCCAAAAAAAAAAAAACCCCAGAATCTCACACCAAGAAAGGGGGGAAAAATTACTGGTCTTCGTAATTTTTCTTCTTTGCGCAAATGAGCAAGAAGGTAAACCAGTTTTCACTCAAATTTGAGCCTCAAGTTAGGCCCCTTTTTTTCGGCTGATAAAACAGAGAGATGAGTCAGTACATTCTTTCTTCTTGCTTGATCTTGTTTTGGCTGAAAAACAATATATTATGGTTGAACCAAACAAGCAGCTTAAAGAGTAATTAAAAATTGTGAAATCATATTCAATCGATGAGCCTTTTCCAAAATTGTAGGTTGCTGTTTTGCACTTGGGCAGTAAAATTTTCTATTATCTCGGGCAAGCAATAATTAAGAGGTTCCATGCATAAAATGCAAGTACTTTTGGGATCTGATCCAACTCGGCTACCCAAAACTTGAGTGAATTGGAAATATAAGACAAGTTGATCCCTAAATTTTTATCTCACGCCATGGGATAAAGGATACCTCCAACCACAACATAATAAATACACAGTTATTCTGGTTTCGGCCCCAGATTATGCTATCTGATCATCTGTATGGTGCATCCTCTATCAAGTATAGCCTTTTTTATCCACTTAGAAAAAAGTAGATAGGCACGTTTTAGTAAGGGGCATAAACCCCCTCCCCCCCCCCCCAACAACAACAACAACAACAACAAAAATCCAAAACAAAATAAAAATAGAAGGGGGAAGGGGAAAAAGGAATAGGCAGTAAGAAGCAAACCTTAAGAGCCAAATAACACTGGTTCTGGCGAATGAGTTCGCGAAGAACGGCTATCATATCGAGCTTGAGCAAACGCCTAAAGGTGGTCTCAAGGGCAGGCTCCAGCGGACAACTACTAGTGGCTCTGGCCCGCTTGAGTGCCTGAACCGTTTGAATGGCTTCGATGCTGAGATTCCGGCCTTTCTGCAGCGGCTTCCTGTTATTGCTTCTGTCTCTCATGGTGGTTACAAGTGCATTGTTTCTATTCTTTCTACCATTGCTATTGTTTGCTGCTTCTCCCCCTAGCCCATGCGTAATTAAATTCCCATTCCCAATCCAAGCGGAATTAAGCCTGCTGGCAGTGGGCGAGTGCGATATCTGGGTCATACCTGAATTCATTGTTGTCCCACAACACAGCCAGCAGCCGAGCCACAGCCCACGAGGAGGAGAAGGGTGGGAAAAGATCGCCTCCTCCGTCTCTGATTCTCTTTTTACTGTACAGCTGATTGTTGCAAGAAAAAAGAAGTGCAATTCTGCAATGAAGGTCCGTCTGCGGTCTGGCAATTGAGTTTTTTATGTGTTTGTTTAAAATTTTAGGGTTAAATGCAAAAAATCCCACAAACTAAATATTCAATTGCAGTTTACCCCCTAAATTATAATAATAGGCATTTTACCCCCTTGAATGATATGTTTGGACAAATCTACCCCTTTTATTTTAAGCATTGTTATTTTTCTTTTTTTCCTATCATTTTCTTTTTAAATTCTTCCTTTTTTTTCTTTAAACATTGTTTAAATAAGTAGACTAGATTAGTCAAAATTTGTTTATTTCTTAATTTTGTATGTCAATATTTTATAAAAAAAAATCTATGGAATACAAGATTTTTTGTCCAAATGTTGAAGTCAATGTCATTTAAAAAATTGAACTTTTCAAATGTATAACAACAAAATAGAGAATTTGATTAATCAATTATCAGTAGTATCAATAACAAAAAAAATGAACTACTATTGTTGTTTATTCTTATTTTTTATTTCACTACAAATAACAATTGCTAACTTTTCTTTTTTATGTGATATATAATATGTTACTTTTATTATAAGTAGTTGAGTAACTGTGAACTCCTAATTAGTTTATAGGTACTTAAATTGTTAAATTACTAAATTAATACACTTTACAATATAAGCTTCATATATTTTGTAATAATAAAGAGTTTATGACAAATTATTAAGAATGAATTTAACAAATAAACAAATTAAAAAAGCAGTTTAAAAAATACTAAAATTTTTTATGTAAGTCTTTTCACATCGGAGAGAGACGTTGGCTAGTTCTATGATAGATGGAGAAAATAAATAAAAGGAAAAAATGAAAAAATCTAATAGAGAAAAAAAAAAAGAAAGGATTTAAAATAGTAGGGGTAGTGTTATCCAAACATATCATTCAAGGGGGCAAATTGCCTATTATTATAGTTTATGGGGTAAGCTGCAACTGGGTATATAGTTTATGGGGGATTTTTTGCATTTAACCCAAAATTGTACTATAACTTACCGTAAAAGTTGCAGGGAACATTTTTTAAGTATGTAAATTTTTGGATATTTTGAAGTATATAGTTTAAAAATTTTGAAAAGTTTTTTGAGATTATTGTAGTTCAAATTGTTAAAAAACTTGTAACAGACAAATTTGACCAAAAAAAATTTGCTTGCCAAACAGGTCCCATATATATAAAAATATTTTTTTATTATTATGTTAGGAATTAATTTTTCAGATATTAATTGTCCTGTGTTATCAAATACTATCAGGGTTTACTAATAATTTTAGTAACAAACAAACAAATTAATAAAAATAATGTTATGGGATAAAGAGCAAAACAAACTATATTTTATAGGAATTTGGTACAGTAAACTCTTAAGTGTATAATGCCTTTTTCGACATTACCATCCCACAATGTTAACAATGTTATAGTTGATTAATGGTTTAGATGATAAAATGAAAATTAAAAAATGATGGTAAAGGACAAAGTGGAAAAGATGCGTAATGGACCCGTATGTCTAATGGCGATTTAGTTTCCGTCAGTTACCCGTTACTCGGTTGGATTACCTCCTCTATAATTAATTGAAATAGGTTAGAGTAGGGAGTAGAAGTAGGTGTAGATGACTCTTGCCATTTATATAGACGCTTCTTTTGACAAGTGACAATTTGAATTTTTACTCCACTATTTTCTTTGGTTAGCAAAAGGTCATAAACTTTTCCCCTCCCAATTTCTCCTCTTCTTTTTCTTTTTACCTCTACCTTCAACCCTCATCTTCCTTTTTTTTCATCTTTCTTTTTTCACTTCCAATTTTTTCTTTATAATTAATTATACTAAAATTATTTTCTCACTATTTTTTAGGTGATTATTATTAATCATGGAGAGATATTGTAACAATCAACTGATTTATAATGCCACTTCCACCTCCATTAATTTTAACTCTTTAATTTAGTATTTTGCTTTTTCCCTTCTTCTTTTCCTCCATCCTAATTTTTCTCTACCTTCCCTCTTTCCACTCAATCAAATACATCTTTTCCTTTTTCCTCTGTATCAACTGAATGTATGCTTTTCTTGCCTAAGAATAGATATTTCTTTTCGTCCTTTGTTCAAAAATCATGATTCATGATCATCTCTTTTTTTTTTAAGAGAAATATAAACAATAGATCTTTTATCTCCCTACCCTTACTATCTAGTATGTTCCATTTTTTTATTCTTATTTTTCCCCTATTTCACGCTACCAAATATGGACCTAAAATTTTTTCATTAATTGTATTTTATTTAGCCTTTATCATTTTTTTTTGCCTCTTCATTCTGTTACTAGGTTTATTTATTTATTTTGATTTGATCTCCTTGATATTCATTAAGCCTTCCATTATTTTGGTACAGCAAGTCAATTCTCCTTTTGTGAGGTTTGTCTTAAATTTAAATGCAAAATTTGTATTTTGCAATTCTGATGTTTTAGTTCACTTTCAATGCATAACTAAATCTTGCACTTCATGTAGTAATTCATTGGTACTGAATTTTTGTGGTTTTTTTTTATGCATTGAAAAGCCTTCTATTTCAAATTTCTTGCAAGTTTTATTGTGAATTGGTAAGATGAAAGTTTTTACATGATGATGTCTTGTTTGAAAAAGAAATAATGGTGAAAAATTCTATGCATTCGTAATTATAATAGCATGATATTTGAGCTTTATGAAGCATATATCATTTATGTTAATATTGAATTGATTTTGTATTTCTCACGTGCTTGATTTTTCAATTTTTTGCTATTATTTGTCCATACAATACAACAAGATATACCTCTACTATATCAAAATAAGCAAGTTGGAGCAAACTTTTGGAACATTACAGTAAAAGCAAACTTTACTTTTTAGGCTCATTTTTTGGCAATTATAATTGCTCTTTATTTGAAAGCAAATTATGGTATAATGAATTTTAGCAAGAATTTTATAGGTGGGCATAAGCGGTCGTCACATCAAGGTTATGCAGTAATGAAGAAAGGTAGAGCGCGCACGGAATACAATCCTGTTATTATACTTGCTAGACAGATGTGCACGTCATACAGATGGATAGGCCTTTAAGAATCTCATTCATGTGCTAATACCGTCATCCTCTTCAGAACGCAACGAAAGAAAAAGTTGAGGAATCCAGAAAACAAGCCACATAACGCGCTCAAGAGAGATGAATGTCTCCTATCAGCAAATGAAGCACAGTTTGACCGAAACTAGGCTATAATGCTTCAGACGTGCAGAGAGTACGATAGCCGAGCAGACAGCACAGGCTTTCAGAACAGGCAACAGAGGCAAGAGATGGATGGCAAAACTAATCGATCAGTAGACTTTAAGGAACACCGGTAGCCGACTGCAACACAGGCTGATCCCTTTGAAAGGACGTCCATTCAATCTCTCTCAGCAAATTACACCTTTGATCTAATGTCAAAAACTCAACTTGTGATGCTACAGCACCAGCCTTCCCTGCCTTGTAGAGTAAAAGGACTGTAGATCCCATGTCAGGTCCATGGAGCTTCCCAGTTAGCAACACCCGGAGGGGCATAAAAAGAGATTTTCCCTGGCATGGCGCATAAATATTGAAATTAAACTTTTTGGGCAACCAAAGATACCAGTAACCAGTAAATTCTTATCAAGAATGCAATAGTAAAAACAAACCTTGCGTTTCAGTGATTTACCAAAGCTCTTTACCCACTTCTGCCACCCTGATTGGCCTTCTTCCAAGGCACCAAGCAGCTCACCGCCATCAAAGGCTGCCAACAAGCTAGCAGCAACATCGGGGAGCCCATCATCGATAACAGATTTACACTCAGCACTGCAGATGGCAAAGAGGAAATCAATTTTTTGTTTCCAATTGAAAAGAAGACTATCAATAACACTGCTCCTGACCTGTTACTACTAAACGTAAAATTATTAAAGGCTCTCCAATATATATCTATAACCATAACATCAACACATCTCTGCAGTTCACATACTGTTTCCCTTTTACCTAAAGATTATTCTTTTTTGAATCCATATATTAGCACCATCCAAGTTGATATGTTCAAAACAGAATATTTGCTTTCACATGCTACAAACTAATTTGCTTAGGACCCACTCACAATCGCCCAGATGAGTGTCATAGCATCCATCAAATATCTGAGTCACACAACACTTCATGATAGCAATACCTAACCTTCAGTAACTGGCTATTCAATTTTATTGTTACTGAGTTGGTGAATTGAATTTGCAACTAAAAAACATTTTAATAACGAATAGAGATTGTCAACTTAGTACAGGAAACGTATAAACAATCCTCAGGATAGTAAACACAAAGACTGGGAAGAAAATAAGAGCAAAAGGTAAGAAATTCAGAATTCATATACTACTACAATGTCTAGAAAGCTTCATTACATACATGCAAGAATTCAACTTACCTTGTCAATGTTGCATATAGAGGATATGACAGCAAGCTTGAAAGAACCTTGTCTGAATCTGTTATCAGGTCAATTCCATCCTTCAGGAGGTGAAAAGCTTCCTGCTTATACAAATACACATTGCAACCATTATGATGCAATCCCTAGAAAAACACAATAGATATAGAGAAGCTACCTGTACTACTAAACATGCAGTTGATAGTAATGCACACTTACTTTTCACTAACCAAAGCTTACAATGATAATCAGAATAAATTCATTTGTTTGACTACTCCATAATGCAAAATTGGTAGCAACACATTGCTGTCTTAGAAAGCAACCAGGTTGACCACAGAGTTGCTTTTAAATTTGCACACAGGAACAAAATTTTAGGATAAATAACAAAGTTATACAATATGATTCACAAGATATAACGTTGATCATGCCACTCCATAGAAATTGCACATGACAAACACTTAATCTGAATCATCAAAAAATGCACCAGAAAGATAGGAAGCCCTTACTTCCACAATGAGCCCCTCTGATTCGGTGAGGATACCATTACTCTTCCAACGTTCACCAATCAGTTTGATTACTTCCCCAGTTGGAAGAGATCTCAAATGCAGACCATTCATCCACCTTT